GTTGTATACAAAGTAAGCATTTTTTTCCTATTATTGTGACGTTGCTCTTATCCTATACTCTTGTTTGAGGCATTAACTGTTGTTATATCATTTCTCATTTATGAACTATAGTTAATTGACTGCTATGCGTTACCCCAGTTCACACTCACTAGTACTGTTATTTTGTATTGATGTCAGTTTTCTAGTTGGTTTACGATGCAGTCTGATTTTGCATGTATATAAAGGCATGATTGAAATAATAACGATCTGATCTGATCTGTCTGTCTGACTCATAAGTCGTTGTTTTTTTCCTCTATTTCGTGGGGCTGGTAATTGAGAGGCTGACGTGTCTGTACAGTGATTAGCGATCATCAAGGTCATTGTATATATTGCACAAACACAAAAGTCAGCCTCTCAATTACCAGCCCCACGAAATAGAGGAAAAAAACAACGACTTATGAGTCAGACAGACAGATCAGATCAGATCGTTATTATTTCAATCATGCCTTTATATACATGCAAAATCAGACTGCATCGTAAACCAACTAGAAAACTGACATCAATACAAAATAACAGTACTAGTGAGTGTGAACTGGGGTAACGCATAGCAGTCAATTAACTATAGTTCATAAATGAGAAATGATATAACAACAGTTAATGCCTCAAACAAGAGTATAGGATAAGAGCAACGTCACAATAATAGGAAAAAAATGCTTACTTTGTATACAACCAAAAATAATGAATCTTAAGCAGAAAAAACAGTTCTAGAAGATAGTCAATCTTCTTTAAGTGCCCGCCATAACACGGTATTATTCGTACTATTAATCTTATGCTCACAAGAGTGTGTGACCTTCAAAGAACTTTCCTCAAATTTCTAGAACAGAGCTATCGATAATGTAATGAACAATGCTTGACACAAAGTAGCATAAATTGAGTGGAGTTAGAAATTTGAACTACCTACCGTATGTGTGTGAACTCAATGATTCATAGGTAACAGACTCATTATTTGATCTCAAGATCGACTGTGATCGAGCATCAATGGACATTGGACAAGTATTGGTCGCTCCAATGTCTCTAATGTTTTTCTACCTATATTCGATCCATGATTTAATCACTCTCTCACTCTGTCTGTGCAATCAATGAAGAATATGGAAATCAGGAAGATAAAAGTTTGTCAGTATAAAGTCTTGAAGATTGTTGGGCTCCTTTGAAATCATGAACTCATCAATGTTAGACCATCGTCGGAAATCTGCAAGCAATAGACGACTGTTTCATCCTAGTAGTATGAGATTTCTCTTCATTGAGGATCCATGATCCTCACACAAGACAATCAAACCCACTACCTTCAATCTCGTTCTACAAGTCATAACCTCTTAACCACTGAGTCATCATCCAATAGTGATAATGTCGGTCTAATCTGAATCAATCCACAATACCGTATGATCATCAACCACTGTATTTTCTGTGAGTAACTGCTTCTTACCCGACACGGTTTAAATCTACTCGTTACGATTACCATAATGAAGCTAGTGACTGATGAACAAATGATAATTTTCATTACGAAGCTGTGGAAATTCTTCAGTTTCATTACAATTGTGGTCCGACTGATGTTATATAAGAAATCTCTGGTGCTTACGTTTTCTTACCAACAATCTCTAAATAAGTTATTAAGCGTATGTTCAGATAACTGGTTTGACACCAGTTATAGCTAATGATACTATCAGGTTATTTAAATCAAAACAGATGTAGTTAGGTTTCAAATCTACAATCTACCAGTTAAAACCCTAACCGATACTCATAAATTGGTATAACTTATCTGAGTTAATAATCTATAACTGTAACAAATTTAGATGACTGAGTTGGTAAATTTTTCCGAAAATCACTTCTCAAATCCTGATTAAATATATATTTTTAGGAAATAATGAGTAACAGTCGACTGATTTTGTCAGTTATGCTATCCAACCTACTATTTATTCTTATCAACTAATCAATAAATGAGAACCAATCAGATTTAAGATCACTAGTCGTAGATTTGTGGCGCGAAATAAAATTAATACAATGAATAGAATTTACAATAGTTCTAGTTAAATAGTCAGTCATATGTAAAATATTGTAAAACTGTTGAATTTCAGCTGATTTACTTAAATGTTTTATACAAAAGATTAGGTTTCCATTTTATATATGTATGTTTTCTGTTATGCTCTATACCATGAAGTTGCCACAGTAAATGACCAAGTTATCGATTATTTTCTGTCATTCATTCATTCATTCATCTTGTTGAGGATGTTAGATCCCCAAAACTCGCTTAATAAGTGCCTTATTTTGCTTTTCATGTTACCAGCATGGGCTGATCAGTTGACCTTGAGATTTCATTTCCGACCAGGAAAATACATGGCTGTGATTGTCTGCTGTGTATTTTAGTGTGCTATTTTCTTAACTGTACCAAGGACGTTTCTATGATGTATAAATAGACGAGTTTTGTATGCTTGATTGTACCGTGATTGCTGGGTGTTTGAAGAATATACTTTCTACGCTTACCAAGACTTCTGTTTTACCATTTGGATTCAAGGTAGATAACTCTCGAGGTAGAGCAACCAGTCGATGTTGTATTCGAGTTGAAACCGGAGGCAGTATTCGCATATGCCTGATTTCCCTAAATTACTACAGCTCCAAGGTGTGAAAAATTCCCCAGGCAGACGCAATTTCGTTCCATATATACAAGTTCAGCGGTGGAACGTTGAATACCTATCGTTAATGCTCTGTTATCACCCCATGATCTCCAGCTATTGCGAACCGAATAGAGAGAGGATGCTCAAGGACTGCGAGAAAGACGAAGCAGTACAAATGACAAGTGAACTGTCAAATTCACGCTTAGCGAATACTCATTTGTCCAATGCCAGTCAGCGAGGTTTTGCCGTGACTGGGGGTCTGTAGGTGACGATGTGGCTTATCACATAATTAATCACCGATAGAATCTACTCGGTTTCGTTCTTTTTGCGTTGCTGCCATTTGTCATAACTTGCTGCTCTCTATGTTATGCCTACTTTCTCCTACTATGGATTGATTTATATATTACGTGACAGGACAGTATGGAACATTTATGGGTGATCATAGTCAATCTGTACTCGGTCACCACTAAATCATCTAACTAGAAAGTAATCCTTAGATTGATCAGAATTGGACATTAGCGGTCCAGAGGTTAGGAATTTGTGCGCAAGATCGAAGGTTCAAGATTCGAAACCTGCAAGTAGCAGATGAGTCTCACAGCAGAACAAAACGGCCCTAGAAAATGCTTTCAAGTTTCTAATGGTGGTCTAAGTGAACTGAATCATGATTTCAGTAATAATCAATAGAAGTTTACAGTTTCCTAATCTTTAATCCCTTGAATATATGTAATTGAAATGATTATCTCAGAAATATTTTCCCGCAGCTAATCATAATAATATTGGTGTGACAAATTATAAGCTATTCATAATAATCCGCCTGAAGTCGTTCTACGGTTACTGCCTGTTCAAAGCCTCGATAAAGGAGGAGGATTGGTTATGTGGTTAGTGACTCTCCATCGTGCAGAAATCCAACTTGCCAAATAAAAAAACGCTAACCAGAAATAACAATTTGCTGGTTAGCAGCCTATGCTCCATTAGAGGTAACAAACGTGAGTAAGTAAGAAAGTAAGTAGGTAAGCAGTAATACTTAGAGTCTATATCTATTTCAATAAATATTAACATTGAAAACAGAAATAGATGATGGCTGGAAGCGGTAGAATCCAAGATGTACAGTCAATCCTATTTAGAACTTGTCATCTTCAAACTACTTATGGAGATGAACTGGTAGTTTGGTGGTTAGAGGGCTAGAATTCCAGCCAGCTTGTTAATTATACAGTTTTGGCCTAGTATGTGGATGACCCTGACGAAGATATCTCGTCACAAGGTTATACGGAATAGTTAATATATGGCTGGTAGCGGAATAAAGGATGCGTGTTTCATCCTATACGGGACTCGTCAGCTGGATTTATCTGCCATATTTCAAGAAGAAGTTAATGTTCACTTCGAGACTCAGACCCAGTGTTGTTCACTTCAAATGTCATCTTGTTATCTCTACTTAGCTATTGAGTTCAGATAACTACTGAATTGAATTAATGCGAACTTTCATTCATGAAAATACCTAACTAACCAAAAAACATCTTCAATAGAGTGAAAATCATCTGATTGGTGGAAAACAACGCACATTCTCTATGTCCACTTCTGAATTTTTGCAAACATTTTTTTCACTCCTTGATTTATGAGTTCCTTTTTTATTCATTAAAATTATTGACAGAATTAATGTTTTGATTTATATCATAGATTGAGTTTAAATGTGCACTCGGTGAAAACCACAAAAGACTCAATAAAATGTTTCGTTCTGTTATGGGACTCACAAACTATGCTAGAGGTTAAGCTATGTCGCCACAGATTACATGGTCACTATCTTCCAATGATACCCATCGTATGCTTGACATGATTAGATACCTTTGGATACAACGTTGCACTGAAGCTTCAGGTGTATTATTCTAATTACCAGTTTCAGAATAGAACTTGTGGGCGTAGTCCTGTGTTAATGATCCCTTTAGTTGTCGGTTAAAGAGTTGTGGAGATGTTTAAGTTTCTTTCAACTCATAAACTAATCATTGTTAAACCAACATTAGAAACCGCCAAGCACTTGACAGCCGTTCCATCAAATAATGGGATTCCTCAACCCTACACGTGGAAATGAAGGTCAGGAGAACACTCGGTCTTGTACGCCAACTGTCAACCTCCAGATCACTAAGTTGACATTCAACACGACGTTGTCATAGCTGTGTGTGACATAATAGGCTGAAATCACTGCATGCATATGGTGGGTGGTTCTTTTTTGTGATTGCAAACTTAAACAATTCCACAGAGATACATTGGTCACCTACTTTATTATCTTTCAAGATATCTACAGAGTCAAAGAGTTCCATGAAAGTGAGAATGTGAAGTATAACAATTGAACTATCATCATACATCAAAATACAGAGTTTATTTTCAACTGACAATCAATACATACGGTTACACACACACACCGACAGACACACACACACATTGGTACACACAAATATTTTGAAAAGACATTTGTAATCACTAAAAGACAACATCTAGAAAGAATAATTTTTTTTGTGTTTATGAATATACTACTGAAATCAAATATAAAATCTGTTTATTTGAATTCTGAGAATAAAAGAATTGAACAATGAATGAATGAATGAATGAATGAATGAATCACAAATGACAAATAAAGAAACGACAAAAATAAACCATTTTTGTACTTATTCATCATGTTCAGAAAGACATAAACAAAAAAATCAATCTTGTACATTGAATGATTATGACTGATTATGAGCACAAGAAAACAAAACTCAAATTATGCAATCTCATGTCAAAATATACTCACGAAAATGATGATGATGATGAAAGGCATAAAGAATCATGGAAATGATTGCGTGTGTGCGTTTATTTTACAACAGTTAAAATTAATTGGTCGACTTAAACATCACAGTACCGCATTGAACACATTGAATGTGAGAATGAATGCATTAAAACACACGCAAAAAAAATCGAAATTATCAACTTTGATGTGCTTGAAAAGAATGAACAACAACATTTATATATATGTATATTAGATGTGTTAAAATGACTGATCAATCTTTCCATTGAACATGTTAAATAATAAATTGTTTAGTTGCATGTTGTTTTTTAACTATTCCTAATTTTGGAGCGATTTTTATCATGGAATCAGATAAATGTGCATATGGTGGTAGTTGTGTCCCATGTACAACAAGAATCCATTCAGTTAGAATGGCATAACCCAATGGATCTTTAGAATTGACGTCTAAACCAATTGTAAGTAACCATTTACCACGAGGATTTTCACTCCACATATGTGTAGTCATAAATGGCCATTTAGTGAAACCTTTAATATTATCAGCATCTTTTGGTCGACGTCTTAACAGCATTGATGTTGTATTCATTGGTGATGTAAGAAATAGCGTGATATCACCACGACGTGTTGCTTTAATTGTAATAAAAGCTTGAACATGTTCTAAATAATTAACCTGATGTTTTATTTTGAAAAAGAATAAGAGAGAAAACAATTAAACGAAATGAAAACGAAATGAACTCATTTTCCTTAGACAATGAATTCATTTTTTGGCCAATCACATGCATCTTCTGAAGGTCATCGATTAGCCTTCTCGTTTGTCCACTTCTGATTGGCCCGCCATATTGGATTTAGTGTAATGATATCTTTTCTAAAAAAAGCCTATACTCACTATGAAGACGTTATTGAGATCGATTCGTATATATACTCTTCGTTTATTGATATTTCATGTGACAATAAGAAGAGTATACCCTTCGTTAGTTTGTTTGAATTTTATTAAAGCAACTATTTGCCTTTATTGAAACAAGAATAGTTGACTACAGGGCAGCAGACTAAAAATTCGCTTAGCTCTTTCGATTCACTGTGGACAATAAGAAGTTGGACATAGCAAATCGATAAAGTTACTAAGACTCAAAACTTCAGACAATTATAAATATCAGTTGCATGGTTAAAAAACCTTATCTTATTTTCACTGTCATATTATAAGAGAGCAGTATGTGTTTAACTGGTCAATAATAATAATAACTTCGGAATGGTAAAATGTATATCAAACTCCTTCTTGAGTCGGTTCAGTGCTACTGCCGGTTATAAACTGAAACTTGGAACACTTTCTAAATCATCGCTCAAAAGATACAGGTTTTCAACGCAAGTTACTACGAATCCGTTGGTCCGACTGTGGTGCGAGCTACTTATAAGTAGTATATGACGTGAGTGTCAACGTAATGTCTGGCAGCAGAAGATGGGGGAAAATCAAGAAAGGAAGAGTTAGAACACAATGGGATTTGTATGAAACGCATGAATAGTAGTGACAATGGATTGATGTTTTGCAACAGGAACAGTCCAGTTCGATATGATGAACTGATATTTTGCAAATTAACGATTTACGATATGTTTTTCCAATTTTATTGAGTAACTCTGTAATTTTCGTTAAGTACATTTCGGTTGCCCCACTGTGTTCTCTTTCACTACACGACCACATTAACAACAACAGCCGATTGTGGCATAGAAAAATTAGTTCTCAAATGAAGAGAAAATCAATCAAAGACGTTGGAAGTAAATAGGGAAAATCACCTAACTGAATTATAAGGCATGCACTAATTTGGAACCTTCATGACTGAGGTAAAAGATCAAAAACCACTGTGCCAGGAATCGGTAGCACACTTAAAATGTAGTCTCTATATCCTTTACACTAACCAATACTTCAGACAACCTTTGAGTAACCAATATGCCACAAGGATGAGAGGCTTGACTATTCTACGCTTGAAGGACAGCTCAATACTAACTTGCCCTTAGCGAAAACGAAGTACACAAGACCAATGATTAACAGTCGAAGATTCGTTACTTTATCTCAAACATTCACTGTTAGGATTATCATCCAATATCCTAAGAGAATTGTTGGTCAATTCCTATTGGTTAATTCCTACTGGTCAATTTTATGGTCGTCTTAGATATCAATGTCACGTGCCCCAATGTTTTTTTCTTATTGGTTGTCCTGACTATCAATGTCACTTCAAATGTTGCTTCCTATTGGTCGTCTTAACTGTCAATGTCACAGACTTCAATGCTGTTTCCTATTCGACCAAAATGTATAAATACACATTATCTGTAACGTTTTATGACCAGGACCAGGACCCGGTCCCGGATCCCTAGTCCGGGATCCTGATTCTCTTCTGGATTCGGACCTCGTACTTTCTGAATGCTTTTAGAATACAGGTTCTACTTCATATCAAGTCTTCTTCTTTTACTCAATATGGGGGTTGGGATAATCGGATTTGAGTAGCATGTCGTGTCACCGGATCCTCGATTCTCGTTCTCGTTTTTCCGACAAAGGTTGAAATTCATTATAGTTCAAGTATATATGAAGTTGACCTGTTTACGTGCAGGCGTAACATTCACTTAAACACACACACAAAATCAGAACACACTGCACCAATGAATGGAAATTAGCTACAACAGTACATGATTGAACTGAAAGTAGCTGTGAGTAGAGGAGAGAGTGCTTAATAATAAATTGTCAACAATGAGATTATACACATTTTAGTGGCCCTCTTCTCCGATGATCTGATTCCAATTTAGACGAACAGTTAAATGAAATAAATCTTTCCTTGCAATTTCCATTTGTCATACTAAGGTGAATCATGTTTGTGCAACAGCGGTAATTAAGAAGCCCAATACAGATTCATTTGGATGAGTTTATCACATTTACAGACAGACTTGAGAAAATAAAGCATAAAAGCAAATTAAAACGAAAAGTGTAGAAGGCGACTGAACTTAGCTCACTGAGATGAGGTAGGTAGGTAATGCACACACATAGTCACACACAAATAAAAACAACTAAGATGTTGGCAAATGATTGACAAGGTTAAGAAAGGCGGGAATAGTTACTTAAACAGAATAAGTTAATTAGTTTTTCGAAAAACCTAGAACAAGCTATGTCCACTTAACATATTAGTAGTGCAATTACCTGTTCTCAGTAGTGACTAGCTTCGTGAAGAATCTTCTCTGAATTTAAGTGAGAAGTCGTGACCAGTGGAGTTCAACCTGTTCGGGTGTAGACAGTAACTACCGAAGGCTCAGATCGTGCAAAATATACAGAACTGATACTTTTTACCTCGGCTGTGGTTTTAGAGAGAGATACTCTGATGCCTATCCACTACATACTACTTATAAGCTCCATTGTAAGTAGTATATATCACAATAATATTCCATCTGATGTTGACGTCTTCTTTCATGAAAGTGATACTATTAAAAATAATCAGGGACATTCGGATTGAATGTTACATTGAAATCTTTAGGCAATTTAAACTGTTAAACTACCATTGAAAACCTTGAACAGTGGATGTCGGTTATGTTATAATATGGTACTCCTCAGTAGTGGCTCCTGTTCATGACCCCACAAGCGACAATCGAACCCAGGAATTTTTATCTCATTCGTGAACGATTAATCTCTAGGACCAATAAGTTGCCATCCATTGGTGATTGTTAGACCACCATTAGAAATCTAGAGAAACACTGAACGTCCGTTTCTGCCTAGTATGGGACTTATCAGTAGTGTAAATCCACAACTCCTGCTACGCACAAGGTTCGAATCCAGGAGCTTCAATCTTGCCCGCGCAAGCCTAATCTCTGGACTACTAAGACAACATCCAACGGTGTTAATGTCTAATTCTGATCAATCTAAAGCTTTTCTCAACCTCACTAATTGTCTTCTGTAGTTACTGACTATACCCGACAAGGTTGAACTCCATTGGTTACACATGTTCTCACGAGAACTCCAAGAATTTCTTCACGAAATGTTAGTCACTTGTGAACACATAGTATGATTTTTCATTAAACAATGATGGACATTGTTGTTTATTTTTGAAAACATTCATTTTTTGGTCAATAATCAAGTTTTTCCCTCCTTCTAATATTTCAATATTCAATATGGTTGTAAGATTCTGTAAATTAAGTAAATCCACACTTAATTTCTTTGCTAAAGATTCTTAATTTTGCTAGTCAATTAAGTCGTTGGTTATAAACGGATAATAAACTTTCCAAGGTCATTTCTAACATCGGTCAAGGTCACTGGTAAAACAAATCCACATTTACCTGTAAGAAAAACAAGAATTACGCGCTATTTTTAGACTATTAAATTGAAATTAAATCATTGGTGTTTGTTTTGTGGGAAAGTTTTCATTTTTAATTAAATTAATCGGCTTCCGAGGAATGTTTAATTCAATTCTTTTTAAACTCAATTGTAATGACTTTTTGTATCCTTCCATTAATGTTTAAGATTGTATCCTGTGCAGGTTGCCTCAATATTATCTTCAGGTTGAAAACACATTATTAGCAAAGATGAGTAGTAACGAACTGTGGAATTTAGGACTCTAAATTTCTTTTCTTCTTCGGGACTCGCATAAAGTTGGATATAGTTGTTATAACCCAGAGATGATGTTTACTCCTGGGCTCGAACCCAGTACCGTTCGTTTCAAATGCCATTCAACTACTGAGTGAAAATAGCCATTGGCTTGTGGGATGGGTTGAAGTTTTCATAGATATGTATTTGTATTTTTAATCTTTTTTTTTCACTGATAGTCAAGACGAGTCCCAAATACGATGAAACACACCTCTTGGAATCCACTGTTAACCACTATCCATCTCTGACTGTCACCTGATTGATAATATCGAGGTAATCTGCATCAGATGTACATGAAGACTGATCAATTTCACTCATAGAAATCAATAAAAACGTTCGGAACAATCAATACAACTGAATTAATCTTCAGCTCATCACACAAATCAGTGGTTAAATGTCAATTCGAAGCAAACGCTACTTGGTTCGAGTCCCGGGTTGAATATCCACTCTAGGATATGATAGGTACATCCAGCTGTAGACGAGCCTCAAATAGGACGAAATGTGCTTCCTGGATTTCACTACTAACCATTATTCAGTACTATAATGTTTAAACATCAATAAAATCATTTATTATAAAAAGTTTCGGATGATTAAATCATGATAAAAATAGATTAATCAAGTCACCACAGATTGTTAGTTTAACCTGCTGTAAAGAAATAGGTAAGATTTAGAAATTTACAATCTCTAAAATCAAAAATGTTGACAGAATCTAATCCTGTATATTGAGTTATAAAGTTTTTTAAACCTTAAATGTTAACCCTAATTATCTGTATCACATTTTAGTGTAATTGTTCGATTACTGAATTATGTTTGTTAATATGAGGTAGTTTAAGTTTTAAAAGTTTGATAAAAGTTTTTTCTAAAGTACAAACCTAATTATAGTGATGGTTGGGACATGTGTTACGTATGCCCAACTACCGACTGCCTTGACGAGCTGTTTCGTAGTGTAGGAGTAGGCTGGAAGAAATCTAAAGAAGGCCAAACCAAAATATGGCGGAAATCCATGAAGTCAATGACAGCTGAAATAACCCATGTTAGTAGGTGTAGACTACCTGGTTAGGGTCCGCGAGACAATAGTAACTGATGGTTAGAAAACCTTGAAAGACATGGCTCAAAATCGTTTGCAATGGCTCACGTGCATATATTCTCTTAAATTCTAATCTTCTGAATTCGTTATTCCCTCTGTCTTTCGAACCCTAATCTTTCCGATTATTACTCATACTGCTACAACCTCTACCATTATGGGATTTGAATTGACAATTCGATCTCTCTATGATAATGTGATGATGTACGTACGTACGTACAAAGTTCTACGTTATCGCTGACTGAAGAGTATTACTGCCCTAAAAAACTAACAGATATGTATCGTTGACAAGTACTAACTAATCAACTAACTTACATGAAACATTAATTTAAGGATCTCTGTCAATAGACTTAAATTATCTTACACCGAAGTAGATTAATCCGATCTAAAGAGTAGATTACCTGATTAAAGTTCGTGTGATAATCGTAACCATTGGTTAGAGAGTTTGAATGACACGATTCAAAATTGTTTACTACAGCGTAGGTACATCCATTCTTTATTTCTTTCAAAATTCTTAACCTCTAAATCCTTGATAACCTGTGTTTTCCTTGTTAATATGATATGGCGACTTGTACTGATGTACGTTATTACGTACGTACCAAGTTCTACCACTGTAATTGACTAACTAACTGACTAAATAAAGCAATATTCGTAAAGAAAGGGGAATTTATCAATCAGTCTATTACTTACTTGATTGATTGAACTATTCATACATGCATCCGTATCTAACTCAATACGAATTGGTTGTCCAAGACGAGCAATTCTACGACCATTAAATGTACCAGCAATACAATGAAAACGTTCCGGTACAGTAATCCATTTTTTAGCTAAATGTACCATATCACCAGCATCTAATACACCGAAACCAAATAAATGATTAAATTCTAATCCTGCACCATTAATTGTCCAATTATGATTATGTTGTCTATCATATAAATGATTACGTTTTGATGTTAATACAGTTAAATGTTGTATATCTCTCCATGTTAAATCTTTTTGTGCTTCCAGCGCTAATGCAAATACACCAGCTGCTTCAGGTGCTGCTGCTGATGTACCAGAATGATGTAATGTACAATTTCCGTATAAATCAATTGTTCCTACACCAGCATCACGTAGAAATGAACTTTTTCCATTGGAAAAAGTGGATGCTAATGTTGATGCACATGATTCATCATAAACAGCTGTATAACCATCATTTGTCACTGAATTAATACTTATTGTCCACATACTTGCCGCATAACCATCACAATTACAATCATCATTCTCTCCACCGTCACCTGATGCCCAAACATATAAACTTCCCTTACCTTTACGACCATTATTTACGCCATCAACTAATGCACGCATTGTTTGATTTCTTGGACCATCAACAGTTGTACCATCATCTGTTGGTCCCCAACTAGCTGAATAAATATCAATCATATCACGTGCATAGGCCATTGCTGCAGCTTCAATTAAATCAGTCATATATGGTTGATCTAACATTCTTAATCCAGCTACTTTAGAACCTGGTGCAACACCAACTCCACATATACCATTTCCAGCGATAGCTGCCACTTCACCAGCACATCGTGTACCATGACTATTAAACCAATCATCAGTGTATCGAGGATAAGGAAATGCATCATTACTGGAAAAATCATAACTTGCATACGCTGCATAATTATCAGCAATATCGGGATGCAGATAATCAACACCATCATCCATAATAGCTGTAATCACACCACGACCAGTGATATTTTGTGACCATGCAGCTAAGACATTTAAATCTAAACCTGGTACACCATCAGCTTGTCCAATATTATGTAAATACCATTCTTTTTCAAATAATGGATCTGTTCTATTGCGTAATTCACTTAATTGTTTCTCTTGATCTGTTAATTGTCTTACTTTTGGCAAATGAATTCGACGTAAATTATCTTCTTCAGTGAATTGACGAAAACCACGTTTTCTACGTACAAATCCTTCAATTTGTTGAGCATGTTCAATAGATGGATGTGTATTCAATCGACGATTGTGTAAATAACTCGGTGTACCACGTGCATAAGGTAAACCTAAATGTGTAAATACAAATTCATTTGGTTCCCCGTAATTATGTTCAGCTAATGTCATGAAACCAAGTTCTTTAGCGATTTGATTCGCTGATCTGGTCAATTCATCTTTATCATTACTATGATGTTTTAATCGGACCAACCATTGATTTGTATGTATTTGTCCGTAGGATATTTGTATAATAATTAAATAAATTATTCCAAATATTAAGATAATCATACTACTACTTTTAAATACTACTGATTTAAATTTTGTCTCATTTAATATATATTCTCATAAAATTAATGAGTATAGATAGATCAGGTAGAAATTTGAGAATGACCAACAATACCATAAAAAACAAACATATAATCTCTCTCTTACCTAACCTAACCTAACAAACAAGTGGGCGGATTGAAAGACAGCATTCATTCTGATTGGTTCATTTCATCATCATTCCAAATTTTTATAACCAATCACGATTGGCCAAAAAATAAAATGCTCATTCTTCAAGGTCAAATTGGAGGAAAAAAAAATCCACGACTTCCCTTTTATCAATGAAACTTTTCAATGGTATACAATGTCTACTTACTTACTTACTCACTCACTAATCGGTTTACCAACTACGTGAATAATTTTTCTCTTCTGTTTACTCTAAAAAAAATAATAGAATAGAATATCAATAATCTAAGTAGGAAATTTGCTCAAATCATAATTTTTTATTGTTATTGAGAATAAATGCAAAAGGGGATAACAAGTTGATGATTATCTTTAAAAATTGACGGTATCAATAATGCTCTATTATCTATCTATCTATCTATCTATCTATTCTATTCTATTCTATACTTTTTAGTTTAAGAATAGTTTATATGGAATGAGATTCATTAAGTGAGCAGTTGAAAATCGGTTACAGATTTAAATCTCGCTTCATCTCATCTCATCATCAGGAACAGCAACGTAGAACTTTGCGCGTAAGTACAGCAGTTCGAGTTGCCATACCAAATTAGCACAGAGATATAATTGTCAATTCAAATCCAATAGTAGTAGACGTAGTAAAAGTATTAGAAGTAATCAGAGAGATTAAGGTTTGAAGATGTTATTCAAGAAGTATAATTCAGTGAGGTAAATTTAGTAGGTGATAAGTGTTATGTTCGTCACTAGGTACGCTTGAAGCTATTACGAGTTCACCTCTCAGTCGATAAACGCGAACGAAACAATTACCAGCCTCCATGTAGGCTACATTGAATCCCAAGCTGTAAACAGAAGGCTTGGTAAGCGTAGGAAGTAGATTCTACAAACACCCAGCAATTACAATACAATCAAGAACACAACTCTCGTTTATTTATACATCATAGAAACGTCCTTGGGACAGTTACGAAAATAGCACACTAAAATACACAGCAGCCAATCACAGACATGGATTTTCCTGGTAGGAAATGAAATCTCCAGGTCAACTGATCAGCCTATGCTCGCAAACGTGAAATCCAAAATAAGGCATTTATCAAGCGAGTTCTGGGGATCTAACATTCCCAACAATAAGGAATTGAGAAAGTTAGAATTTCATAGAACACAAAGAGTAGATGAACCTGTGCCATTGCAGACGGTTTTGAGCCATGTCACCTAACGTCTCAAACCATCGATTACTATCATCTCGCTGACCCCAACCTACCGATATGTCTCAGTCCACTTGTCAATGACTTCATGGATTTGTGTCATGTTTTGTTCTGGGCAGCCAAAAAACATCTTTTATCATTTGGACAATTAGTTCAAAATTACTAGCCCTATTACAGATAATAACTACAAAATTCTGTACTGATTGTCGTCGATTAGATGTGTTTAGCATAGGGTGTATAAGTTGAATTATGCAACTCTGCACAATCATTCTTTAGAAATTCACTAAAGATATTCTTAATATGTGTATATATTGAACACTTGACATGTATATATATCTTTTTGGAAAATGGTCATATTAACTTTTGGACTGTTGAGTTTGGTGAACGGATGGATATATTACAGGAACCATTGAGATTATAGTAAACAGTCCACAGTGAGTAATTGTCTCATAAACGACGCTGTTCAATCCCACTGGTTACAGCGTATCATTAAAACTTTCAGAATTCTATCTGGAAGCTAGTTACAGGTAAGCACATTATACTTATGAGCATAGAATTGTCAGTCAATCAGTCAGATACAACGTAGAACCTCGTACGTAAGTACATCAATTCATGTTGCCATACCACATTAGCACAGAGATGTAATTGTCAATTCAAATCCAATAGTAGTAGAGGTAGTAAACGTACTAGAAGTAATCAGAGAGGTTAGGATTAGAAGATATTATTCAAGAAGTATGATTCAGTGAGATAAGTTTAGAAAGACAAAACTAGAGGTGTTGAAGAATCCAGAAGATTAGGATTTGAAAGAACACAAAGAATAAGTGCACTGGCATTATTGCAAACGGTTTTGAGCCATGTCATTAAGGGTCTCTAACCATCGAATATTATTATCTCCTGGACTCCAACCAAGTAGTCGACACCTACCGACACGACTCAGTCCACTTGTCAGTGACTTCATGGACTGCTGCCATGTTTTGGTCTGGCCGCCCCTAGCATTCGTCCAACCTATTCCTACACTACAAAACAAAGCTCGTTGAGGCAGTCGGTGGTTAGGCATACGCAGCATATGTCCAAACCACCTCAACTGATAAAGTTTCAGCACTTCATCTATTGATCTGCCATTCTTACCTAGCACCCGTTTCCTAATAACAGCATTCATTGCTCACTCGGTTGTTCAAGCATATACGAGCAATGCTTTGAAGACATCTATGATCGAAAACCAGTAACCTACGAAGATTGAGTTTCATTGAAATCATAAATCAATCAATGTTTGACCGAAATTGGAAACCTGGATGCACTGTATGTCCGTTTTTTCCTAACATGAAATGAAACTAGGACTTTTGGTTTCATGAGCAAACTTATAACTTCTATCCTACTGATTGAATATCCAATGGTGTTCTCACAAATCGTAACCTTCAGAGTTCTTCATCACTTTGATCTTTTTCTTTTTAAATTTATTTCACTAGATTCTACTTCTTGAATAATATCTGTGAACCCTAATCTCTCCGATTACTACTACCTCCAATACTATTGGATTTGAAGTGACATTTGCATCTCTCTGTGCTCATATGGTATGGCAACTTGAATTGATATAGGTACACATGAAGTATCACGTTGCTGTTGATTGACTGATTGAATTGATTGACGTCCATTGGTGTTAATGTCTAACTTCTATCGATCCACGATATAACAAGACATTCATTCATTGTGTTCTATGGGTAACTACCTCACAATCGACACATTTGTTAATTATAATGTACTTAACTAGTGACTAATTTCAATAGGAAGTTCTCGTACTTCTAATGAGAAGCCGTGATCAGTGGAGTTCAACAATAACACAATGTCAGCATATTCTTCCACTAATGAAAGCAAAGTATAATAAACTTGAAAAAGACAATTCGAATGAGTAGTTACCCATTTTTCTCATCAAGATCTAATTAGTGTCATTTAATTCTGACGTTATTTTTAAGTTATTTATTTCCTTGTAAAAAAACACACAGATATCTGTTTGTTAAACAGAAGACATCTGTAAGATCCATTTTTTGAAGACTTTGTTTGTGAAAATCCATCCATGTATACACACTTGTAATTTGTCCTTATTGAGTCTTTCAGTTGTACATTTTGTTAATCTGTTCGATTCCATCTTTGAGATGATAATACTCATATTTTATTATAGTTTCGATTTCTTCTGCCTTTACTGAGTTTCTATGTTACTTTCTGAATTGCATTTATGTTGTTTAAGTTGATACTTAGTCATGGCGACAGCCATATTGATTTGTTCCTCTTTTAATTGTGTTGCTTTCACGGAGTGGAATTGTGCATTTTGATTGTGAATTGAAGCAACCTTCCTGAATTGGAAACATTCTGTGTTATAAAGCAATCGAATGAATCTGATCTATCCAAGAGGGATAGAATATCATTTATTTGTTTCTGTTGATTTGAATAATTGAACAATCGTTGGTGGAATAACTGAGTGGTAATACTTGTTCAGGTAATGATGTACATTTGTATTTATGCTGAATATTAGAACCGTTATTTACACAAATCAACTGTTTTGGATTTAAACTGGGCAAGACACGTATCTAAACTACCTAGACAGTTATTCCTCAGTTTGGATCCTACAAATCAGCCTACCTGACTCGGTTTGTTAAAAAATTCTATTATTTAAGTACATACATATCTGTGGTGGATGCTACTAACAAAATAGTATTTAAGTAGTGTACAGTAGAGTATCTCTCAGAAGTTACTGCCACAGGAAGAAGTATCTGGAGATTAAAAATTTCTGTTACGCATGCACATAAACACGTGATTTGTTGTTCTTGAACTATGACGAGTTTATTTCAATCAGAAAACGAAAGTGAGGATTGAGGATTCGGCGACACTACAGGTTACTACTCTAATCCGAGCGTCCCAAACCATCATTGAGCAAAAAGAAGAACACTCGATATGAAGTAGGACACGTATTCTACAATCATACAGAAATTAAGAGATCACGGACTAAGGATCCGGGTCATAAAGCGATAAGTCTTAGATCGACCCTCAAAAAATAAAACTGACTTTTCGAGAGAGAGAGAGAGAGAAGGCAAAGATCAAAAGAGATCTATAACATGGAAAAAATACTATTCAACAATACTATTCAACACATAAAGCAATTACTTCAACCAATAACATGCACTTTGGACATTTTCTGTCGATTATCAAATGGCCTTCTTAATAGATCACTTCTGATAGATGTGAAGGCACTGATTGGCAGGGCGAGGGCAGTATTTCTATGATGGAAGAACATCTGGAACTCAAAAAAGCTGTCAGACAAAACAAAAGTTACAATTTTTAATACAAATGTCAAGATAGTTTTATTGTATGGAGAGGAAACATGGAGAACCGCGAAGACCATTACTTAAAAGGTAAATGAACTTCCACAAAGTTGTCTATTCAAGATACTACGAATCCACTGACTAGAAACAATCGACAATAACTTATTATAGGAGAAATTAAGCAGGATTTTAGTTGGGGAAGAAACTGAGGAGTCAGTGATCATGGTCACAGATGGTATCGATAAAGAATGCATTTCAATAAATGGCATCTTTAAAACTGGATGTTTTGGCTTTTCATTAAGTGATAACTTTTTGGCCATCTTCTCAGTACTACGGAAAAGCTAACATCATTGTTAACTGGTCTAAGCTCCCATCGGTTTTCGATTTCTGAAACCACATGTGATTTCATGATGTAGGTT